AGTGCTCTTAACCATGGAACCATTCCTCCAATTGGGTGCCTGGCTTTTTAATGTGGATTCTGTGGATTCTATTTGGGTCCTCATGCTTGCACAGCAAGTACTTTACAGACTGACTGAGCCATCTCCCTAGCCTCAATTATGCATTTTTCTCTCTCTCCCCACCAGAATGTGAGCTCCATGAGGCAGAAACTTAGTTTTATTCAGTATTATTTTTCTAGTACATACCAGAATGGGAGCTCAATCAGAAGAGCATCAGAGCAATGGTTAAAGGGCCACTCCCATCATTATTAATCTGGTTTGATAAGGTTATTTCTTCTGAAATTCAGTATCTCATTCATAGGTGACTACTATGCCCAAGACCTGAGCTCAGAGCTGAGATAACCAGTATGAGCAAGATGTGGACTACACCCTCAGGGAGCTCCTACCCCTGAGAGCACAGCTGTTACAAATGCCTTCTCTGCACTAACTTAACTACCACAGCTAGCTGCTCTTCCTTTCTGCAAGGTTGCTGGGGATCTCAACTATAAAAGACTGAGACCCTGTTCCCACACACATGTGGCAAATTCTCCCAGGTCTTTGATTCTCTAGGTAAAACAGAGAGACTCAGTGGGAATGTCTTGATCCCTAGGTGCCCAGTGATAATGGGGAAGACAGACTATGGATTGCAGGGACAGAAGAAGATCCAGAACAGAGTAATTACTTCAAGAAGAGGAGTTCTAGGGAGGGGACTTAGGATGGAGGCTGGGGATAGGGACAGAGATCTTGTTAGACTAAGGCAGTTGAAGATGTCATTTATGTTGAAGAGCAGCTCACTGGGAACTACCCCTAAATCTATGCATGCTACACCCAGACAAAGCAGCATTTGCCAAAAAGCAAGCCCCATGATAGGCTGAGGGCTAGGGAAAAACAAGGAGGATGGGCACAGAGGAGATGCCCAAGCCCACTGACCTCAGGACAGGAGTCTGATGGGGGAAGGGATCAGCTCTCAATTGCTGCTTCACCCAACCTAAGCAAACTGGTGATTACCCACAAGAAAGTGTGGCACACACCTTTAATCCCAGCTCTTGGGAGGTAGAGGCAGGTTGATCTCTGTGAGCAAAAAAAAAAAAAGAAGCCCCTCTAGGTTCCAATGGACGCCCCCCAGAAAAAATACCTGGGTAATTTTCAATCATATAATGAAGGGCTCTATGGGGATATTGTTCTTAGGTTCTCTGGAAAACCCTGTGATGGCAAAAGAGTTTAAGAGCCACCTAAAAAGTACACCCAGAAGAAGTGGGTGTTCCAAGGGGGAGCCCCTGATACATTTCTACTTCATTTGGAGACCTGAATGAGTACTAAAAATTTCCATGTTTGGGGTTTCTGATGGGGTTTCCCTAAGAAAACCACAGAACTGCCAAATTTGCAAAGGGAGCTGAGTGCCTCAACTAAGCACATTTCCATGCTGAACTGAAGAAGTTGAGAACAGACCAGAACAGGTGAGAAGAGACCTGCAGAGCTCTAGGAGACCTCAGAGCTATGCAGCCAGCTTGAAGGCCAGACTGCTTTCTCCCCACTCCCTGCTCCCTGCCCCATGCGGTGCTTCCACCATGCAAAATGGATTATCCAGGCACAGCTCTCCCTAAGTGGCCTGGCCCACCTGTGGCTTCCTCTACACCCCAACTGAAAAGCCCCCAAAAGACGTTCATCCACTGGGGGAAAAGTTATAAATACATTCTCAGCGAGCTGACTTTGATTCTTAGGAGTAACTCCAGGGGGGCAAAGTTCAGTTCCCTGAGGGAGGAAGCCCATTCATCAGAAGACATGCTTCCACCCTACAATTAAGGGAAGGGAAGGGCTTTTATTCTGGCAGTTGGGTATCATTATTCCATTTTACAGGGAGGAGAGACAGACAGACCAGAGAGACAAACAGGTTCAGCATTCTTCCAGGTGACTAGGGCAGGCAGTATGGCCAGAGGCTGGAGCTCCAGTTATTAGAACATCACCCTACAATTAAGAGATACCTGGAACAGAACACCTCCCTGCACTGCACACACACTGTCAACTATTAATAAAGCTGAAAAAGAGTTTAACAATGAAAACATTAACCAGAAGCCCCTTGTGAGGAGGCAAAACCCTGATACCACTCAACGCTGCCCATGTCAGAGTTCACTAGTGCCACAATCTGAGGCTATCCACTCCTTTGGGAACCTGCTGCAGAAGACAAAGTCACTGTTCTTGGTTTCCTGAACAATGCCACAGCCATTGCACAGAATGAGCACCTTCACAGCAAGTTTTACTCAGCCCAACAGCATCTTGAGCTTCCTATACTACTCTGCATTATTACTTCTTCAACAACCTGAGATGACTAGAAAGTGCTTAGGCTTCAAAGTTAGGCAGAACTCAGTATAAATTCTCCCTCAGACACTAGGAGCTTTGTGTGTAACCTGGGAATAAATCCACCTACCTTGGAAAGTTACTGGGAATCCACCTACCTTGGAAAGTTACTGGGTAGAATATATGAATGATGATATATTTCCACAGTGGAGAGATCAATAATAACTTAAACTAGCACCCAGCTATACTGCCTACCTTATAGTAGATGCTCAATAAATTGGGTACATTAAGTAAAGGATGGCACGCAAGAAACTCAAGAAAGGCAAATTCTTTTCCCCTTTCCTGTAGGAAGGCTAAACCTGGAGCATACTCTAGGGGGACCACCTGAACTCCTAGATATAAAATCTAGCTGCAGCCTCCAGGAAATTTTGGGGAAGCCACTGCAGTAGTGTCTGTGTAGCTCAGAAGAGGGCTGTACCTAAAAGGGAAATGGGCAGGTACCTTCCACCAAGGCTCAAAGGATCCCAAGTCAAATATTCTTTACTTCCTGGTCCCAGGGGAGAATGCAAGCCCAGAAATGGTCCTGACATAACCGGCTCTTCTGCACACATTCCCCCTCTGCTCACCAAGTGTTAAGTGGCACATTACAAGGTATGCTGCCCAACTGGCTCTGGAGATTCCTGAGCAACGAGATGGTGGAAGAGAGAATTTCAGTAAGTGGAGATCTAATGAACTTGCCCCAAGCTGCTGCCTCAGGCAGGTTTGGCATTTTCCCAGGTGACTAGAACATGACATACAACACAGGGCAGCTGGCAATTCTCAGGTCTGAATGAACAGCCTCTACAGAGGCTGGCTGGTAGACCAGGTACCTCTTCCATCTGCGTTCTGTTTATAGCTGGCATCAGCCTGCCTGATATTAGAACCACTAGCTAAAGACAATAGGCAACAGAGGCAAAGGACCCAAGTCTACTTGGAGATGCTTCAGAGGGTGTGTCTGAAACGAAGGAATCCTGTCCCTCCTGTAATCAGCTGAACAAATATTTGTCCCAAAAGAGAATCAAAGCAGGAGGGAATGAATAGAAGAGGTCATAGCACCAACCAACAGGAATCATTTAATCATTTATCTCCCCAGGGAGTTCATTTAACAGACTAGCTTTCAAGTCTGGTCATCCTCAGCACAAAGGAGCCCACCTTTACCTACCCTGATCATCTGACCTCTACTGAAGTGACCTCCTTGCCTTTTTCAAGAGCTAGTGGAGGGGAAGCGTGAATGAAGTTGTGAAGAACTGGGAAATGAGAGACTGGGTGGAGTTCCAGGGCAAAGCCAGGAGGTCTGTAACTCAGTGGTGAAGTGCCTGCCCCACCCAAGGCCCAGCCTATGAACAGCTGCATTCTTGACATTCCAGAGTCCTTGGTGCGTGGCCCCTTCCACCTCAGTTCTTTCAATGGGTAACTTATTGTCCACAGCCTGTCAGTTTTCTGCATATTCTAAGGGGACAGAATACTTCTCATGAGCCCTGAGCACTCCTATGCTGGAACAGGGTTCACTAAAGAGGGTAAAAGCTGTCTGCTATGACCATTGGTAAGGAAACTCTCACCTCTATCTTACCTAGACTCCTGATAGGCAGGACTCTGAAGAAAAGGCATTCACTGGTGTCAGTCCCTACTCACATCGATCTCTAAGATTTACAATACTCCCAAGACAAGAAGAGCTTGCCACATTTTTTAGTGGAAGAAACTAAGTAAGGCAGGTGAGCCAGCCTGTCCAAGGTCACAGAGCCAGTGAAGTGACAAGGGCCAGTCAGGATGTACACCCACATCCAGTCTAACACCAAACCTTAATGCCCTGTGGAGCCTCAGACCAGGTTCTTGCTTTGCCAGCAAACAGCAACTGGTGAAGAGGCCTCAGGGCCTTGGCCAGAGAGCAATAGACAGAGCAGCTAGAGATCCCTAACCGACCCCAAGTAGTGAGGTGCAAAGTCCTGGGGCTCAATGTATGACACAGCAAGAGTTCCACAAACAAGCCAGCCATGCACTAAGTTGTACACTTGGGAAAATGAACTTAGGAGCACAGCACAAATACAACTCACAAAGATTGCCCTGCTCTAAAATCAGACAATACTCAACCCTCAGTCACCCAAGCCAATGGGGGCTCCTGCCTGGCCAAATGGTCTGAGTATCATGCATGCAAATAAAAGGAACTTGATTTGGAGAAGGAAAGCCTGGGTAGGATCAACACCCCTCCAAGACAGAGGGCTGATGGGTCTTCTAGTCACCAGGTGTTCAGTTTCTCCAGGCTGTTATGTTCATCACCTCCCTCCCCCAACGGTGAAATATTATGTCAAGGCGAGGAGAACGGGGCGAACTTCCCACTCTCCCTACCTGTAAAATGGAATAATGGTGTCTCAGAGGTTTTAAGTCAAAAGAACAGACAGGCTGTTTTTCATAGCTGAGAAACTGGAACAAAACTATGAAAAGAGTAGAGACAGGGGGGGAACTAGAATGAAGGATACAGGACCCTCAAGAACTGGGTCATCTGTATTTCCAAAGAGTTAACAGTGTTGAAATGAGGCCAGGCAGGTCTCCTTAACCATCATCTTCAACAATCACACCACCCCACAGAAAGAGACACAGGAGGACAGTGGGGGATCTCCAAAGAAAAGACACACAAGGGGCGTGGCTCTTACCCAGCCGCCGTTCTCCTGGATCCAAGGCTCTAGGTGGTCATTCAGGTAAGTGGCCATCCAACTTGCGATCCGACTCACCAATACCTGCATCTCCTTGTCTACGCTTTCCACACACAGTGCACCGCCAAAGGAGAAAAAGGCCACAATGCGACCCCAGTTTACCCCATCTCGGAAGAGTTCATTCACTACCTGTTCAAAGCTCTGATATGCTGTCCCCGGGGTTATATGAAGCTGGGATGTTAGGTCACTGAATGCCCGCCGGTACCGCAGTTCAAACTCATCCCCAGCCTCTCTTAGCGCTTGCTTCACTGCAACCATGGGGATCAGCTCCCGGGCATCCAAACTGCTGCTGTGGCCAGTGGCTCCATTCACCGCGGGGCTGTCCACCAGATGCCAGGATGGGTTGCCATTGATGGCACTGGGGGTCTCCCTCTCTGATTCAGTTCCTTCTGGGGCCTCAGTCCTGTTCTCTTCGACATCACTGAACTGACTCCAGCTGTATCCTTTCTGGGAAAGCTTGTACGAGAGAAAGTCAACCACCAGCTCCCGGTTGCTCTGAGACATTTTTATAATAGAGATAGGCTCAACCAGTCCATTGTCCAAAACACCTGCTCACTCCCGGGGTCTGGTCTGTGCTTAATGATCCTCTTCCAAGATCCAAAGCCAAGATAAGGTTCTGAAGAGAGAAAAAGAGCTTCAGGAGAAAAAATTAATCCGCCTGTCATTTACCTTACAACATCCCATACCTCCTTCAGATATCAGGATTGGTTTCTTTGTGGCTCTTATGAAGGTCTGAGTCCAGGTTCTAAGGGACTTCAATTAAGTCAAATTGAAAGGATTAGTCAGCTTTGAATTATTCCATCAGCCTCTTTTTACTCCAACCATCCACCCCCTTTTTCCTCTGAAATGCCTTCCCCCAAAATTTACCCCCATGGGCAGTCCCCCGCCCCACACCTACATTCAAATCTATCTCTGGCGAAAGCAGGCAGGTGCAGCCCCCGGAAGATCTTTTGTATCATAGGTCGGGAGGAGGTGGCGGCCGGGTTGCCGGTAACTCGACCGGCCTCGCGGCGGCTGGAGAAATAAACCAGCTCCGGCCGGAGGGATCATGAGACCTGTAGGCAGCCCACAAGGCGACACAGGAATTGCGAAGCTTAGGAACCTGCCCCCTCGCTGGCTTCCTCCATCGCCCGGATCGAGGGCGGCCTCTCCGCTCCACAGCCTCCAGCCACCGGGAGCCCAACCCCCTCGCTCTCGCACGCCCCTTGGCTCTCCGCCTCCTACTGGGAGCCAGGAGAACTCTCTCGGGGGTACGGGCTTCGTGTAATTCCCCCCGCCTCCCTTTCTTTCTATTTGAGTACCAGCCCTGGGTGAGGCTTCCGAAAGCCAGAAGGGACTTCTCAGTGAACCTCAAGGTTTCCAGGAGGGACGCGGGGAAGGGGAAACGGCCTGGACCCTGCGATGAGATCGCGGAAAGGCCATCCCCGGGCCTTTCCGGGAGGCTGAAAGCTGGAGACCCCCCACAAACACCGCTGGTTGTCTTTGAATTCCCCAAAGGCCTTGGACATGGCGGTGGGAGACTGCCAGGTCCTCCATTCCGCCCCCGGACACAATGGCCGCCGGCGCCCGGCACAAAGACGGACTGCGGGGGAGGCGCTGCGCTCCTTCGCGGGTCAGCAAGCTGGGTCGAGGCCCCCGCCGCGGAGACCCCGTTTTCCCAGGGCCCGGCCCGAGCCGGCCTCCCGGAGCCCCCTGCGGGGCTCGAGGGCCGGGAGCTGCTCCTCGCCGGAGCCCTGGGTGGGTAGGCTGCGGCCACGCAGCTCCCAGTGCTCCGGAGGCCGGGTACCCGCCGAGCCACCGCCCCGTTGCTAGGCAACCGCCCTCCCTCAGGGGCGCCCCCTAGACCTTTCTGGGAGGAGGGGGTCTCGCCCCCGGCGGCCCGCCTCACCGTAGCCAATCAGAGAGTCGGGTCGGCGCGGAAGCGGGACGGCGAAGGCTCCCATTGGGCACGGCGCCTGTCAGACACGGGAGGCGGCGCTCTCACCTGCGAGCCCAGCCAGCCGTGGGGGGCCACATCCCCCCTTCATCGGCCTGGTGGGTTCCAGACGCCAGGGCTCTTCGCGGCCGAGCTGTGCGCCGCGGACTTGGGCCGGCCTACCTGGCTGACTGCTCGCGCCGAGTCTCCCGGAGAAGCCGGACTCAGTTTCCCCTGAAGAGACCGGGGGAACTTGCAAGCGGAGTCACTTCCGGTGCCGCGGCAGCGCGCGCGAGCCCGAGACGCAAAAGGAGTGCGTGCTTCGAGGGACTGGCGTGAAGACGTGGCGGGGAGCGCCCCCTGGAGGGAGATCTGTGGCGTTGCAGGTTCACATTCGGCCTATTCACCCATCCATCCATTTGGATACAGGACAAGCACATTTCCTGGGAGTCCCAACATTGGGGAGGCCACTCAACTGCTCTGTCTTATTCAGTTGAGAAATAGAAAACAGTATTGACCTTACTGAATTGGTGTGTAACAGTTATTACTTGTAAAAGCCGAATATAGTGTCTGGCCCATAGTATAAGCTGTGAACATTCGTTCAACAAATGTTTATTGTTTGGCTTGCTGAAGACAGTTACAGACAAGACAAAACAGTCTCTGTTTTCATGAAGACTTATACCTTAAAGGTGTAAGTGTACAGCTAGGAAAATACAAAATGAGGTAATCCCCACTGCTTTGAAGAAAATAGTGGTGTTATAGTGATGGTAAGATGAGAGTTGCTTTTACACTGAGTGTAAAACCTACTCTCCCTAACCAGTGTGGTAGAAAGGCATGTATTTAACAGTTTTTCTTTGAGACAGGGTCTCATGTAGCCCAGGCTGCCCTTAAGGTATGTATCCCAAGATGACCTTAACCTCTGCTCTTCCTGCCTGCCTCACCACCTACCTTGCTTATGTGTTGCTGGGAATTGAACCCTGATCTTTGTTCATGCTAGGCAAGTACTCTGACTACAGCCTCAACCTCAATTTTTCCAAAATTTTATTTGTTATTTTGTGCATGTGTATGATTTTGGGTGTGCACATTGCACAGTGTGTGTGTGAAGATCAGAGGATAACTCTTGGGAACTGGTTCCCTCCAGGGGTTGAACTCAAGTAGTCGGGCTTGCACAGCAAGCTCTGGCCTTTATGGGGGAGAGGGCAGACTGTAGGTCTGTAGCTCAGGATGACCTTGAACTCACTCTGTAGTCCAGGCTAGCCTTGAACTCATAGCAGTCTTCCTGCCACAGCCTCCTCTGAGTGCCTGGAGTTATAGGTGTGTAACACTGTTGTCTTTTTTTCTTTCTTTTTTGCAATACTGGGGATGGAATACAAGATTTTGCATTTGCTAGGCAAGTGCTCTACCACTGAGCTTCAGTCTGACCCAAAATTTATATGTAAAGGAGACAGGACTAGCAGTGTTGAAGAGGTCACACTGAACCCAAGGCTAAAATGCCAACTCATGGGAAGAGCCTAGACAACATCAACCTAGACAGAGGGAAAAGTGTGTGCAGATGAGTTAGGAAGACAGAGGCATGTTCCAGAAGCTGAAAGAGAAGCAGTGGAGACAGAAGGGAGTAGAAGAAGGGTGCATGCTTGACAGGAAGTTGGAAAGTTGACCATGGAAATGGAATTTAGTTGATTAGAAACAGGCATGGGAGCCGGGCTTGGTGGCACAGGCCTTTTTTTTTTTTAGGTCTTTTTGAGACCTGGTCTCCCTATAACCCCAGCTGGCCCAGAACTCACTATATAGACCAGGTTGACCTATGAACTCATAGATCCGCCTGCCTCTGCCTCCCAAGTGCTGGGACTTAAAGGCGTGTGCCACCACACCCAGCTCCAAAGTCACCATTTAACCTGCATGATAAACTGTCCTGGGGTTCATCAGTGGATCAAAAAGGTATGTGTGCTCTTCAGCATTTGAACAAGAGCTTCTCCTGTGTCAGCCTCACACGGTTCATCTGCAAGCACAGCCAGCAGTACCATCAGCTTTGCACCAATGACCTAAAGATTAACAAAGAATTTACAGAGAACATGTATGATGGCTCATCTGGTCAAGGTACTTGCCACCAAGCCTGACAACCTAAGTTCTTCCCAGAACCCTCATGGTGAAAGGACAAAATGAACTCCTGTAAATTGTCCTCTGCGCTAGATAGCACATGTACACACGCACACCCATAAAATAAATAATGTTAGATTGTCAGATCATGGGCATGCCAATTTTAAGACCAGATGCCCACCCCTCTAGAGACCAGCCTTCTGCTGTTCTGGTCCCTATCTCCTAAAGCTATAACAAGAATCTGTAAACAAATGTACTTCCTCATCTCTTTTGAAACAGGCTTTGAGCTCTGGCCAGGTTCCCCATCCCCTGGGGAAAGCTTTAAAAAAAGACTTCTTGCTCCTCCTTTCTCTGTCTGTCTGTCTCTCTCCTTCACTCCCTCCCTCCCTGCCTTCCTTTCCCTCCCCCAACACCCTCTATATCTTTCTGGCTGACATACTCTCACATCCTCTCTCTCCTGCCCACTGGTCGTGTGTCAGCCCCCCACGCCAATGCTGTTCCTGGCAGCTCCCTTTTACCCTTTCACCTAAAGTTAACTTCTTAACGTTTCTATATAATGTTCTTCCACTTCACAGCCCTGTCATGCTGCCTCTGGTATGATGTACTGTACTCAAAGCTCCCTTGCCTCAAGATCTGACTGTGGTTTAGTTGTTGCCCTCCCCCATTAAAGCTCATTGTCTGAAGGGTAAATTGTGTCAGTTCCTATTCAAGCCTGAACCACCACTTCTTTTTTCTTCTTCTTAATAAATAAAGTTAAAATTGAAGGAGAGCTTACGGTTCTCCATTGACTCATTTTATTTAGTCATCAGATTTTTTTTTATGTGTATGCGTGTACTGCCTGCATGTAGGTAAGTGCACCCATGTCATGCAGTGCCCACGGAGGACAGAAGAAGCTGTCGGATCCCCTGGAACTGAAGTTACAGACAGTTGTTCACTCCCTCCCTCCCTGCCTTCCTTTCCCTCCCCCAACACCCTCTATATCTTTCTGGCTGACATACTCTCACATCCTCTCTCTCCTGCCCACTGGTCGTGTGTCAGCCCCCCACGCCAATGCTGTTCCTGGCAGCTCCCTTTTACCCTTTCACCTAAAGTTAACTTCTTAACGTTTCTATATAATGTTCTTCCACTTCACAGCCCTGTCATGCTGCCTCTGGTATGATGTACTGTACTCAAAGCTCCCTTGCCTCAAGATCTGACTGTGGTTTAGTTGTTGCCCTCCCCCATTAAAGCTCATTGTCTGAAGGGTAAATTGTGTCAGTTCCTATTCAAGCCTGAACCACCACTTCTTTTTTCTTCTTCTTAATAAATAAAGTTAAAATTGAAGGAGAGCTTACGGTTCTCCATTGACTCATTTTATTTAGTCATCAGATTTTTTTTTATGTGTATGCGTGTACTGCCTGCATGTAGGTAAGTGCACCCATGTCATGCAGTGCCCACGGAGGACAGAAGAAGCTGTCGGATCCCCTGGAACTGAAGTTACAGACAGTTGTTAGCTGCCATATAGGTGCTGGGATTCAAACCTGGGTCTTTTGCAAGAACAGCCAGTGTTCTTAAATGCCTAGCCATCTCCCCAGCCCCCAAGTTTCAATTTTTTTAACACAACCAAACAAAAAGAACATGAAATGAAAACTTAGCCCCCTTTGCCTGCTTCCCACTCTGCAGTTTCCTAGAGAGGTCATGCTCCTAACTCTTTTCCTGTGTAGGCTTTCAAAAACAGTCATTGTACTCAAAAGCATATAAATGTTTACTACAATGGATAGCATGCTGTAAACACAGCTGTACTTGTCTTTTTACATTGAATTTTACTTTTTTTTTTTTGTCTTTTTGAGACAGTGTCTCCTTGTAGCCCCAGCTGTCCTGGAACTTACTATGTAGACCAGGCTGGCCTCCAACTCACAAAGATCTGCCTGCCTCTGCCTCCCAAGTGCTGGGATTAAAGGCGTGTGTCACCACCCCCGGCCTGAATTTTACTTTTTAAAAAAAGACTCATTTGTATGTGTGTGTTTGTCTGAGTGTCTGTATCTGAGTATATGTCAACGTGTATAGTTCTGGGGATGGAGCCCAGGGTCTCAAAGTTACTTAGGCACGTGCTCTATCACACTGTCATACCACCAGTACTTCAATTTTAAAATATTTTATTTTATTTTTCTAGTCTTTTTGAGGCAGGGTCTCCCTGTAGCCCCAGCTGGCCTGAAGCTCACTATGTAGACTAGGCTGGCTTTGAACTCACAGAGATCCACCAGCCTCTGCCTCCTGAGTACTGGGATTGAAGGCCTGTGCTGTTGTGCCCGGCTAAAATATTTTCTTATTTTTTATGTGTATGAGTGTGTTGCCTGCATATATGTAAGTGTACTTGTGTTGTGCAATGCCCGCAGAGGTCATAAGAGGGTATTGGATTCCCCTGCAAGTAGAGTTACAGATGGTCATTAGCCTCTGCGGGCATTGAACCCAAATCCTCTGCAAGAGCAGCCAGTGCTTTTAACCACTGAGCTATCTCTCCAGCCCTCCAGTACCTCAATTTTAAAAATTAACCTTAGGCCAGGTGTGGTGGTACATGTCTTTGATCCCAGCACCCTGGGAGGCAGAGGCAGACACATCTCTGTGTGTTCAAAGCCCACCTGGTCTACAGAGTGAGTTCTAGGCCAGCCAGGGCTACATAGTGAGACTTGTCTCAAAAAATACAAAGAAAAAAAAAAGATTAACTTTATAAGGACAGGCCCCCATCTGAGAACATTTAGGTAGTGTCCAACCTTTTCTCATTACAAATGATGCTATGATTTGTCTGTTGTATATTCAGCATATGTGGGAGTTTATAAGATAAAAATTTCTAGATGTGGAATTACTAATGTATGAGCATAGGAATCTGTTTTTAGTTTAATGAATATTGGCGAAGTGCTCCTTATAGCGACTGCACTCCTCTGTCCTCCCATTAATAAATTGTGAATGCCTATTTCTTTGAATTGTGTGTGCATGTGTACCTGCAGTGTCGGAAGATGGAACACAAGGTCTCACATATCAGACAAGCTGTCTATCACTGTGCAACAACTCCACCCCTATCCTTTTTTTTCTGAAGATAGGGTCCCATTATGTAGCCTTGACTGGCTTCATCCTCACTACGTAGACCAGGCTGCCCTCAAACTCACAGAGATCCACCTGCCTCTGCTTCCTGAGTGCTGGTACTGGGATTAAAGCCATGTGCCACCATGCTCAGCCTTGTCAGGCTAAATCTGAAAGGCAGCTGGGCCTGTAATCCCAGCACTCTGGAGCTGAAGACAGGAAAATCAGGAGTTTAAGGTCATATTCTCTACAAAGGAAGTTCCAGTCCATCCTGGGCTATAGTAAACTCTGTCTCAAAACAATGACAAAAAGAAACCACTGAAAAGCCTTTTTGTTTTTCATTTGTTTTTACTGTGAGTGAAGTTTAGGAATTTATATTTTTTTAGTTGTGATAAATGCTCTGTTTTTATTTCTCAGTTTTTTTCAATCAGTCTTTCTAGTCAACTTCATTTTCTCATTTATTTTCTACACAAGTTGTAAATACTTTCCCAATTAATTACTTATTACCATGGAAGGCTTTAATTTTATATGCATCTTAGTTTACCACTCTGCCTATGTGTCTTCTGGATTCTATGTCAAACTCCATCGGTATTATAAAACCATTTTTGGGGTGGGTGTGATGGGTCATTCAGGGCTACATAGTGAGATCCTGTCTCAAAACAAAAAATCAAAACAACAAAAAAACAAAAACCATATTTTTGTGTTTTCTTTCAGTTTTTACACAGTTTCATATCCACTGATGTCATATTATCGTCTTTTCCCAACTGACTTGAAATATATTTGTTGTTGGAAACTATATTTCTCAGTATACCAGGTCAATTGATTCCATGGGCTTGGAGT